CCGCAGCCACAGACTTTGGAACCCCATGCAGAAACCAGGGTGGGTTCAAAAACCACACCTGGCACAGAAAACAGCACAGGTACAAAAGAACATACCTGGCGCAGAAACCAGCACAGGTTCAAAAACCATAACTGGTACAGAAACCAGGATCAGGTTCAAAACAACAGACCTGGTGCAGAAAGCCGCACAGGCGCTTAAAAAAAAAAAAACTGGGACCTGGCACAGAAACCAGGACAGGTTCATAAACCGGACCTGGCAGAGAGACCAGACACGGTTCAAAAACCAGACCCGGCAGAGAAACCAGTGGAGGTTCGAAAACCACACCTGGTACAGAAACCAGCACAGGTTCGGAAACCAGAACTGGTACAGAAACCAGGACCAGGTTCAAAAGCCAGACCTGCCACAGAGACCAGGACAACGTTCAAAAGTCCGACATGGTTACGGAAACCAGTACAAAGCTCAAAAGTCAGACCAGGTTCAGGACCAGGACACGGTCACAAACCAAACCAGACCAGACCTGGCACGGAAAGCACCACAAGGGTTTTGAGAACCAGACCTGGTACAGAAACGAGGACACGGTTAGAAAAACTACAGTCTTCCCCCGAATACAACGCACGGTCATTATAGCCAAATTCGGTCCATCTTTCGGTCTAAATTCAGCTATAATGACCGTACGTTGTATTGGGGGGAAGACTGTAGACCTGGTGCAGAACCAGGACAAGGTCCAAAAGCCAGACCTGATGCAGAAATCAGGACAAGATTTTAAAAACCAGCCCTGGTACAGAAACCAGGACCAGGTCTAAAAAAACAGACTCGGCACGGAAAGCAGGACAAGGGTTAAAAAAAAAAAAAAACAGAAAACAGACGTGACAAAGAAGCCAGAACTGGTAGCCCTGATTCCTTTTTTTTTTTTCTTTTTTTTTTCTTTTTTATGCGTGTCATCCTTGCGCAGGGGCCATGCTAATCTTCTCTGTATCGTTCCAATTTTAACGGATGTCCCGAAGGATTTCTGTTCAAAACCGGTTCTCCTTCTTTTCTTTCTTTTTTTTTTTCCATTCTCCTTTTTCTAGAGAGCGCGACGGTCTGCATACTTCGGGACATCCGTTAAAATTGGGGACAGGGAGAGGGAGAGGTGTAGAAAGCCCTCATCTGCTTTCATTGAATGAGACCATGCACTGTACCCTCTGGAAAATGGAGTGGCTTCGAAGGGTTTACTGTAGTTTCCATGAAATAGAGAGGTCCTATTACATGAAATGACGGCAGAAAGGGGGATAGGGAGAGAGGAAGAGAGGGAGAGAGAGGGAGAGAGGGAGAGAGGGAGAGAGGGAGAGTGATTATCTGAAAGAAGAGAGACCAACAAAGATGGACCCTACAAACGG